CACACTTGAAACAATAAAAAGAAAGGTGAAATTAGGGCTAACAATATGTCTTTTGTACTAAGGCTTTGAAATCCATTGTGTACTTTGCACTTCACAACATGTCTCAGTCTGGACCAGTCACAGTTTAAGTGTCCAGTAGCTACCACAGGGCAGTGCAAAGGAATTCAATTTTAGCTGCAGATAGAAAATTAGGATCCCATAGATATACAACTAAAATCCTGGAATAAGTAAGTTTAGCACTGTGTAGTACCAAAGGAAAAAAAAAAACATATATAAAAGATATGCAGAGAAAGAGCAACTAACAAAAGATAAAGATCAGCATTTCTAGTTCTCATCAGAAAATTCTGTCATGGATAGATGATCCAACACTTGCCATATTTGGATGAAATTTGAGGGTAAAAAGTGCTAAGGAGTATGTTCATTTTCCACGTCTGTTAAATTTACTAGGCTCTATTTTAAGTTTACTGAGCAGAAAACAACATATTCGGGCTGTGTTTTTATAGTTTTATACAAAAACTACTGTCAAATTATGATTGATGTTGTAGCTTTGATTTCTTTTTCAAAACTATTATGTGTATATATACATATATGTATGTATGTAACATGTTTGTTATTACAGATCAGTCTCAACGAGGTAGCCTCTTCACTCTCTTTTTGAACAATCCTCTAATGGCCTTCCTATTTGTCTCTGGATTGTCAAGCATGCGTAGAGGCCTATGGGAAAAGTGTCAAGAGTATCTTCGAAAAATCAACCGCGATATTGCCCAGCTACTGACCCATTCACGTTCAATAGGTACCCTCCTAATCTAACTGTACACTTAACACAATGTGCCATCATGGCTACAACGGTCACTTATTGTAAATTGTTTGCATTTTTAAAGGTATTTGTCCCAGGCAGGAAAGTTAAGAAGGCTTTCTTAAAGTTTCCTTCCCATTTGAAATGTAATTTCCATTTAAGCATTCTTTTACTGTCCCCTTTCTCCTCTTTGCAGATCAGGCATTTCTCCAGTTTTTTGGAGACGAATTTCTTCGCTTGCTTCTCACAAGATTTATCTTTTGTTCAGCCACCATGAGGATGCACAAGATTTTTCGGGTAGGCAAAGAATATTATTAAAGATAAATTTTACCACAATGGGCATTTAAGAATCAATCACGTATTCTGTTACCTGCATTACAGTTTGAGTAGATATAAAATACTATTAACAAATGAGTATGTGAAGTATAAAGATTAAGGAGATTAAGAATATTTGATTACCTAACCACCCCTTTTAATCAGAACATTTTCATTGTCTTTGAAATAAAAGACAATGCGTCCTCCCTGATCCTATCTCCCTCTCAAATAAGTCTGTATTTTGAATTTTATAACTATCACTTGTTTCTCTTTATAGTTTTGCTAATATATTGCTACATAACTCATTGATGGATCCACATTGTATGCTTTCTCCTACAGCTTGTGTTTGTTTTTCTTTTCCAGTTGATGTATATTCCTGAAATTGAGCCATGTTGATGATTCTAATTTTCATTGATTTGTTTTGTTTGGCTGTCCAGTACTGGGCATTGCTTGACTATGCACCACAAGTTACTTACCAGTTCTACTAATGGTGGACATTCGGTTTCTTTCTAGCTTTTTATTACCTGCATAAACTATGACATTTTGACATTCTTCTATTGGTTTCCTGGGGCACATATATAAGATTTTCTCTGGGGAATATAGCTAATAGTGAAATTGCCTGGTCAAAAACGATATGCATATTAAATAGTGCCAAATTGTTTTCCAAAGTGGTTGTTATCAATTTATAGTCACACAGTGGTGTGAAAAAATTGCTATTGCTCTGATCATGCCTTATTGGTACCTTTTGGAGGTATGCTTTTTATATTTTGTATGTATCTGGTGATATAAAGTAATAGGTCATTGTGGTTTAATTTTCATTTCCAGCATTACTCTTGAGGTGGAACAACTTCTCTGTGGCTTATTTCATGTTCCTCTGTGAAGATGTGTTCTGGTTATCCCAATGACCTGACAGTCTGTTTTACTATCTTTGTTTCTTTCTGTGTATTCTGTTATACCTACACATTCTATTCATTGTTAAATTTTGAGCCATTGTATCTTTCACTTTTTTTTTTTTTAAGAGGTTTTTGCTATAGGGCGCGTGCACTCGCCAGAGAGAGAGAGAGACAGAGAGATAGAAAGCGAGAAATCACCCCCCAAGGGGGGAATGGCCACGCCGCAATCCCTTCTCCTCCATTCTCCTCTCGGGATCTTGGGCACGCACGCACACGCGCCCGGCGTGAGTTTAAGCCACCGGGTCCGGGGTGCGAACCACAGTCGACTACGTAGGAGTCCAGTGACATAGCCATTATGCTAACTGCTGGTCCCTACTTTTTTTTTTTTTAGTAACACAGTTTGCTAGAGGATGTGTGCACTCACCAGAGAAACAGAGACAGAAAGTGAGAAATCACCCCCCATGGGGGGATGGCCATGCCATAGTCCCTTCTCCTCCATTCTCCTCTTGGGATTTTTGCCATGCATGCACATGTGCCTGGTGTGATTTCCAAGCCACCAGGTCTGGTACTCGAACCATTGTTGGCCATGTGGGAGTCTAGCAACGTAACCATCACACCATCTGCTGGTCCCCTGTACTTTTTACTTTGATAGATAATATTTGTTTGAGGGGCTGGCTGGTGGCGTGGTGGTTGAGGGCACTGGACTCCCACATAACCGACTGTGGTTTGAGCCCTGGACCTGGTGGCTTGATTTCTCACTCCCCTCACCCCTCTTTCTTATTCTTTCCCTCTCTAGTCAAATTAAAATGAATAAAGTTAAATAAAATTATTAATAAAAAAGTAATATTTGTTTCTTTTTCAAATATACATGAACATTTAAAGAAGACGTTTTCAACTTTTAGTTTTAAAATATTGGTTTTTTTCCCCCATATTTTATTATGATAATTTAAGGATATTGAACAGGATTGGTAAGTGACATGGAGGTTGAGGGTTAGACCCCACATGGCCTACTCTGTGCTTCACGTCCAGGACCTGGTGGCTTGAAAAGCATGCCATACATGTGTGCTTAAAATTCTGAGGTAGAAGGGGGAGAAAGAATTGTGGTGGGGCCATTCCCCTAGGGGGTAATTTTTTATTTCCTCCCCAACCCCTGTCTCTATCTCTCTCTCTAGTGAACACACATGTCCTATAGCAAAAAAACTAAAACACACACACACACACACACAACAAGATGTGGAAGAATTGTACAGTGAATGTACATATATACCACCTATCTTCTGCAGTTGCCATTTGGTATATTTGCTTACTCGTGTATTCATCTACCTCTCTCTCTCTCTTTCCATTCATTACTGTCAGGTTGTCAGAAAAGTCATGACACATTTTTGCATAGAAAAATACATCATGGGGGACCAGCAGGTGGCGTGGTGGTTAAGGCGCTGGACACTCCCACATGGCCAACCACATTTTGAGTCCCAAACCTGGTGACTCCCTTTCTAACTTTCCCTCTCTCTCTCTCTATCTATCTCTCTCTGGTCAAATTAAAATAAATGAAGGAATAAATAAAATTAAAATAAATAATTTTTTTTTAAAAGAAAGAAAAATACATCATGGCTGGGACCAGCAGGTGGCATGGTGGTTAAGGCGCTGGACACTCCCACATGGCTGATTAGGGTTCGAGTCCTGAATCTGGTGGCTTGCTTTCTCACTTCCCCTCTCTCTCAGTCTCACCCTCTGTCTCTCTCTGGTGAAATAAAAAATAATAATAATAATAATGAATAAATAAAATAAATAATTATTACAAAAATACATCATGGCTTTTCTGACAACCCATGTCATTTTTTTGGTTGTATTTTAAAATAAATTGTGAACATCCATAGACAGTATTCATAAATTTTTTATCATGCATATATATGCTTGGTGCTTTTTTTAATGCAAAGTTTACATACAGTGAAATGCACAAAGCCAAAGTACACCGTTGGATGCATTTGGTGTAGGTACCCACACCTGGCTCACCCAAATCTCCGTCAAGTTATACCACATCTCTTTATACGAGAAAGCTCCTTGTACACCTCTCTAGTTGGTCTGATTGTTTTCTTTTCTTTTCTTTTCTTTTTTTTTGAGAGGTTTTTGCTATAGGGTATGTGTGCTCACCGGAACGACAGAGAGACAGAAAGTGAGAAATCATCACCCCCGCAGGAGAGATGGCCATGCCCTTCTCCTCCATTCTCCTGTCGGGATCTTGGGCATGCATGCACATGCGCCTGGCGTGAGTTTTAGCCACTGGGTCCAGGACTCGAACCGCGGCCGACTACATGGGAGTCCAGCGACCTATCTATTACGCTAACTGCTGGTCCCTGATTGTTTTCACTTTAAATTTGCTGTGCTTGTTCATGAACCCAAATCATGGTATGAACTCTCATGCAAACTTTCTTTAATTGAGCATATTGTTCTTGAGATTAACCCATATTGTTTCATGGACTGGTAGCTTATCCCTTTTTGTTATTGAGTAGTATTTCATTGTCTAAGTATAGCACAGTTAATTTATGGATTGTCTTATTGATGGACACCTGGGCAGTTTTAAATTGATGGCTAATAAAAAATAAAAAGGTTTGTACAAATCTCTGCACAGACATATGTTTGAATTTTGTTGGTCATAGAGTAGTTATGTGTTTGGTTTTATAAGGAACTGCCAGACCTTTTCTCAAAGTTTAGTAGCATTTTAAATCCCCACCAACTCTATATGAAAGTTATTCTAGGGCTAGACTCATAGCCTAATGGTTAAGGCAACCAGGTCCCACAAGGCCGATCATGGGTGGCGTCCTAGCCCCAGTGGCTTGAAAAACCTACTAAACTTATGTGCACACATGCCCCAAATCCCAATAGGATGGATAAATGTAACAGAAGTGATTACAGCATGACCAGGCTCCACTGGTGTGTTTTCTTCCTCTCTCTTTCTCTGTCTCTCTGATGGGTGCACATGCCCTCTAGCAATTAAGAGAAAATTTAGTTTCTCTCCCTCTCATTCATAAATTAACATTTGTTGTTGTCATACTCAAATTCTGACTATTCTGGTAGAGATATAGTAGTATCTCATCTCAGTTTGCATTTTACTGGTCAGTAATAATATTGAACATCTTTTCATGAACTTAATGGCTCCATTTTATCCTATTTTTTAAAAATTATTTAATTTATTCATTCATTTATTTTTAATTTGACAGAGAGAGACACACAGAGAGAGGGAAAGTGAGAAAGCAAGCGACCAGGTCTGGGACTTGAACCATGGTTAATCATGTGGAAGTGTCCAGCTCCTTAACCACCACGCCACCTGCTGGTCTTCTGTTTTTTTTAAGAGATATTTTTGCTATAGGGTGCATGCGGTCACCAGAGAGGAGACAGAGAGGGACAGAGTCAGAAAGCGAGAAATTACCCTTCCTCCCCACGAGGAGATGGCTATGCCACAATCCCTTCTCCTTCATTCTCCTCTTGGGATTTTGGGTGCACACACACACACACACACACACGCCTGGCATGAGTTTTAAGCCACCAGGTCCAGGACTCTTACCATGGTCAATTACATGGGAGTCTAGCAGTGTAACCATTACGCCATCTGCTGGTCCATACTTTATCCCATTCTATGGTTTGTCTTTTTTCTCGGTAGTGACGCTTTTAAAGACTAAGTTAAATTTTCTTTTTTTTTTTTTTATAATTTTTTTTTTTGAGAAGTTTTTGCTATAGGGCGCGTGCGCTCGCCAGACAGACAGAGAGAGACAGAGAGACAGAAAGCGAGAAATCACCCCCTAGGGGGATGGCCACGCCGCAATCCCTTTTCCTCCATTCTCCTCTTGGGATCTTGGGCACGCATGGACATGCACCCGGCATGAGTTTTAAACCACCGGGTCCAGGACGCGAACCGTGGTCGACTACATGGGAGTCCAGTGACATAGCCATTACGCTAACTGCTGGTCCCTAGGCCCTTGAGTAATTTTTCACATTTGGCAGAAGGTGCATGTGTTTGCTAGATAGACAAACTGAAAAAGAGAGCAAGCACACTACCACCATCCTTCCTCCTTAGTGGATGGTCGTGCTACAATCCCTTCTCCTCCCTTTCTTTCTCATTTTTGGATTTTGGGCACACATACCCACACAATTAGACTGTTTTTCAATCTACCAGGACCAGGACTAGAACCCTGCAGTCATCTGTGTGGGATTCAGCTGCTTTAACCACCATGCTACCAAATGGCTCTCTCTCTCTTTTTTTTACTATATGCACATTACTGGAATAGATATGATTTATTTATAAATGAACACAAGTGAACAATTTACAGTACCTCAAAGCTTGGAAAAAGCAACACAGTACTAAATACACAACTTTTGATTTTCTTCAGATTCAGTGTTTATGGGGTTTTGTTGTTTTATAATTTTCCTGTAGGGTGTGTGCACTTGCTGAAGAGCCAGAGCGACCATGGCGAGTACACTCCCCAGAGGGAGGCCACAATACAGTCCCTTCTCCTTAATTCTCCTCACAGGATTTTGAGAATGTACACATACACGCCCAGTGTATTTCTCAAGGTACCAGGACTAGGATTCAAACTGTGTAGTCAGTTACATGCGATCCAGACATTTTAACCACCATGCAACCACTTGGCCTGCGTTTGGGGATTTAATTATACAAAGATGAGTCAGTTCTGCAACCTAAAAATATTTACTTATTAAAACTATACCAATACTTTAATCAACTATACAAAAAAGATAACGAGACAAACATGTGCACTTATAGAACTGCATATCAGTCAGGCCAGATCCCTGCGGAGGGAATTCACAGCATGGCCTCGTTCATCTGTGAGGACACAGCAATCCTCGTTCAGACCAGCATGCTCATCTAACTTGTCTGGCGTGGTCAGACCGCTCCTTCCTGACGGCTTCCTCCTGCTTACGAATGTGTGCGTCCAGCTGTCTGCTTCTTAGGACAGACGTTCGCCTTCCTCATCCTCCAGCCATTGGAGGAGGACTGGGGCCACGCAGATGATTGATTCGACCCATTCTTTGAGAAGGGTTTCTGGGTGGCCCTCTTCTGTCATCATATCTGGAATCAGATGAGTTTCCATAGCCTCTTCCCTTTTTCACATCTTGCCGAAACAGAGTTTTGAAAAACAAAACTACAAATTCCCCAGAAATAATCTGTTATCAAAGATCCTCCACGGGGACTGACTCCGGCTGTCCAGTACTTGACCGTTCGAGATGTAAACCAGCACTCTTCCTGTTCCCCGCTTCAGAGCCACTGAAGAGCCTGGGCCTTCTGAGCTTCTTTTTTCTTCTTTTTAAAGAGATTTTTTTTGCTATAGGGCATATGCGTTTGCCAGAGAGACAGAGAGACGAAAAGTGAGAAATCATCCGCCAAGGGCCTAGGGTCGGGGGTGGCCATGCTTTGCCTGGCATGAGTTTCAAGCCTCCAGGTCCAGGACTCAAAACTGCGGTCAGCCATGTGGGAGTCCAGTGATGTAATCATTACGCCATCTGCTGGTCCCCCAGCTGGCCTTCTTTAGTGATTTTTCATGCCTCATGTTGTTAATTTATTTCCATTTTATTTTTTCTTTTTCATTCTAGCTAAAGTTTTATGAATCTTGATCTTTCCAAAAATCAACTTTTTTCCCATAGTTTGCTATAGGGTGCTTGTGCTCAATAGAAAAAGGGGGAGAGAGAGAAAGTGAGAAATCACCCTGCAGGGTGATTCATCCCCCTCTGGTGAGTAGGAATTATATGGTTTCTCCATGATACTGAGCATAGCACCCAACTGTGACAGCTTCAGTAAATATTGTGGAATAGCTCACTAAATGAATATATTAGGTAGAACCAAGCAAAATTGACATTTTTAGAGGTCATATTGGTCGCATGTCAGCAATTTAACATGTTCAACAAATATAGTATAAGAACGATAACAATACAAAAGGGAAAATTGTATATTAAGTTTCCTCCTTAATACTCCTAAAGTCTTGTTTCTCCTTAAATGTTGTTTGCAACTTTCTTCTATTAGCCTGTAAAACTTGACTTCTCTTTTTTTGTCTGCCAGGAAACACGAAACTATCCAGAGTCATATCCACCACTGCCAAGGGATGAGACAGTGGAGAATCCGCATCTCCAGAAGCACATTTTGGAATTGGCATCTATCCTAGATGTTCGAAACGTGTTCTTTGAGAATACCATCGATGACTATTAAGACAGAAATCCTCTTGTTGAAACAGCTTTTCATTTTCCACAGATTTTAAATGGTGCAGTTTTCTAATGTGATGACAGACATATAGTGGTGTTACTTAGTTTTTATTTTTTAATTTAGGACCACCATTTTAAAAACAAACTGAAAAAAAGTTCAAACTTTTAGGGTAACTTTTAAAATGCAATCTTTCAGGTCTTTTAAAAAACCTAATTAATCTTGAAATTTTTATTTCTTGGTTTTGAGGTATGGATACTTACCTCCAGCATCTAATCCTATACTCAAATAGTCACTACTGTTCTCACCCTAAGAAGAGTAAATCGTTTATTTTTGTATAAAAATTGGAGGAAAATTCAACTCTTACACTTGGACCTTAAATGTCTGGATTTGGAATATAAGTAATTGTTCATAGTGATGAAACTAGCCAGCACGGACTACTGAAAACCAAGAGCAGAGTCCTTCCATGATATTTCCTTTCATTCCAAGTTAATAGGTAGAAAAACGTGTGCTTCTTTGAAGTATGATCAAGACAGTTTCTGTAATCATTTAATTACTTTAAATACTGTCTATATTTCAAAAACTATACAGGACTAATTAGCATCTGAAAGCTAAATCTTTACTTGGGGTCTTAAAATGATAAATATTACTTGGAATGCGTGAGTACTGTGTTTTTCTGAGATTTGTTTGCATATTTTGTTTTCTTTGTTGTCTTTGAATGCCAGGAATGAAAAAGAAAACAGCTTTTAATTTTTAGTCAAAAAATCAAGTCGTGGTTTCATAATATAGTGTCTCTGGTAGGAATTCTATTAAAACTCCCTAGTTTATGAGATCAAGTTTGAAAAGTGGGATTATTGTCTGTAGTATACAGTACAAGGTTTTTAATCTTTTTCTCTCGTGCACACTTATAAGACTTTAAAAAGAGAAGTTACTAATTTTGGTTTGGGGTGACTGGATGTTATGAAACCTAAAATGTAAGTTGATATTGTATTGACACTCTAAAGTAAGATTTGTTAAAACTCCTTGTATTTAGTATTTTATATTCATGCACAACTTTTAAAAATTATTTTAAATAGGACTCCATGTTTAATATAAAGATTTTTGTGTTTTTCTTTCCCTTCATAATTTCTCAGGCACTATGAAGCTTTTTTCCTCCCCTCTTTAGTTCCACAGTGTTCAAGTTCAGAAATGTATGAATCAACAGGCTTTCTACCTAATTTTCTATACAGGCTCACAGTCTACCTCTGGCAGTCCCAGGGGAAATGAGGTGATTGCTTAGGTACCTCTTTCCTGTGGCCCCAGGGAAATTTTACTGTAATATTTTTAACTTTTTTTTTTTCATTTTTAGCAAATAATAATTTGGGTCTAAATTATTTCCTTACCATTTCTAATTTACTGATTTTTTTTTTTAAATCTGAAATGACCATTCTTAGGTTAAGGATGTTTGGATTTTTGATTAACTGTTTTTGTTTGTTCTTTCAAACAATGTTTCAGAAAGCTTGGGAAAAGTTTCCCTTGAGAGAGATTTTCTTTGCTAAGCGAACAGTTTTCTTTTTGAGATAAAGATTGCTTTCCTTTTTTTTTTTTTTTTTTTTTTTTTTTGGAGAGATTTTCACTGTAGGGCACGTGCGCTCGCCAGACAGACAGAGAGAGACATAGAGACAGAAAGCGAGAAATCACCCCCCGGGGGGATGGTCACGCCGCAATCCCTTCTTCTCCATTCTCCTCTCGGGATCTTGGGCACGCACGCACACGCGCCCGGCATGAGTTTCAAGCCACCGGGTCCGGGACACGCACCGCGGTCGACTACGTGGGAGTCCAGCGACATAGCCATTATGCTAACTGCTGGTTCCCAAGATTGCTTTCCTTTTTAAAAATTTTCTCCAGCACCTTTATAAACTTCATAGCTCTCCTTTCGTAACAGTGTTTACTCGGAATATAGCAATAGACTGTCACTGTCTGACCTCTCTTTCAATTCCCCTGAAGTCTTGTGCCAGTTCTGTTTCTATCAACACATATTTTACTATTTTCCAAAATAATATTGATTTACCTGAGCTTTATCTTCAACTGCTAAGCCTAAGGAACACTGTTCTGGGAACTAGGAGACCTGAACCCTAACCCTGAATTTCCTAGCATTACACCCTTTGAGAAGTGTCTTCCTGTCTCTGCTTTATAGTCCTCTCACCTGTAAAACGAAGGCATTGCCTCAGGGCCTTTCCAACTCCATGATTCTATAATTTGGTCTCTTGGTTTCTAAAATTTGGATGTCTCCACCCAGGAAAACTTGTTTTCCTGTTTTTATTGTACACTAGTTTTTATTTTCTTGATCATATTTACCTAGATTTTATTCCAGAAAATATATGGGTCCCACAAAGCTGTTTTAGAAACTACTACAGAGAAACGCTTCTGAAACAATTAGAGCCATTGTGGTTTGAAATATGTTTGTCTAAGAAGGAGTCTTAGAAATCACAACTAGGATTTAGATTTTGACATTACATCTTGAGTTAATCATAGTATAATTCCTTGCAATATCTAAAGTGATCTTGAAATTTTAAAAAGAAGAAAACTGGAGGCTGACAGGTAGCATGGTGATTAAGGCGCTGGACTCCCACATGGCTAACAGGTTCGAGTCCCAGAGCTGGTGGCTTGCTTTCTCACTTTCCTTTTCTCTTTGTCTCTTTCTGGTCAAACTAAATAATAATAATAATAATAAACCGTAAGAAAACTTTGCCAGAAAACTCTAAAATCTTATTTCATTATGCCTGCAAATAAATTAAGTAAGTAAATAAGTTGTGGCCAGCAGGTGGCATGGAGGTTAAGGTGCTGGATCCCACATGGCCAGCTCCACAGTTCGAGTCCTGTACAAGGTAACTTGAAAATCATGTGAGGCACATGTGTATGCATGCCCAAGATCCCTAGAGGAGAAGGGATTGCGGTACAGCCATCCCTCCTGGGGGATGATTTCTCACTTTTCCTCTTTCTCTGATAATACTTGGAAACAAAGTAGACAAAAGTCCTTATCTTCATGAAGCTCACATTCTAATAGTCAGGAAATAAATATAAGCAGTTAAATTTATTTTAATAGTAAGTGGGGTAGACGAAATTTAGAGCATGGAAACCGAAATCTTTGTTTATTTTGTTTGTTCGTTTGTTTGTTTTGGAGAGATTTTTTGCTGTAGGGCACGTGCTCTCACCAGAGAGATAGAAAGTGAGAAATCACCCCCCAGGGAGGATGGCCACGTCGCAATCCTTTCTCCTCCATTCTCCTCTTCGGATCTTGGGCATGCATGCACATGTGATGGCGTGAGTTTAAGCCACTGGGTCCGGGACTCAAACCACAGTGGGCTACAAGGGAGTTCAGCGACATAGCCATTACCCTAACTGCTGGTCCCCAGAAATCTTTGTTTTTGAGAGAAGAACAGTATTTTAGAAGAGTGATCAGGGTAGGCCTCATTAGGAAGCTGATTTTTGCACAAACTTCTGGCTTCTTTCTCTTATTTTTTTTTTAATTTAATTTTTAAAGTTTTAAAAATACACAGTTTAATGAATCTTCTGTACCCTCCACTCAGCTTCTACATTTTAAAGCATTACTTCAAATCAAAGAAGAACAAATGTAAATCATAGTAACCTGGGGTCGGCAGCTGGCTTGGTGGTTGGGGCACTGGACTCCCATATGGCTGACTATGGTTTGAGTCCTGGACCTGGTGGCTTGCTTCCCCCCCCATCTCTCTCTGGTCAAATTAAATAATAATAAATCAAATAATTATTAAAAAAAGACAGTTACCTGATGGGTGCAAGATGAGAATGGCGAAGAATTTTATTTGTTAAAAATGCATACCAATCCCCTTTATAAATATAAAAAATTTAAAGCCATATTTGTTTAATTTATAGAATTCAAAAAAATTTAAATATTGGAATGAAGAACAGAACAATGCAATCAGAAAATAGGAAGCGGTTCTAAGTCACGGGACCATAATGGTTATGTCACTGGACTCCTGAGTAGTTGACTGGGATTCAAGTCCTGGACCTGGTGGCTGAAAACCAGGCATGTGTGCACGCATGCCCAAAATTCTGAGAGGAGAATGAAGGGATTGCGGTGTGGCCATGTCCCTGGGGAGTGATTTCTTGCTTTCTCTCTGTCTCTCTCTCTCTCTCCAGCAAACACACAAACTGTATAGCAAAATTCTCTCTCAAAAAATAAAAGAAAGAGGGACCAGCAGGTTGGTGTAATGGCTATGTTGCTAGATTTCCATATAGTTGATTGTGGTTCAAGTCCCAGACCCAGTGGCTTAAATTCATGCCGGTCGCATGTGGGTGTGTGCCCAAGATCCTGAGAGGAGAATGAAGGAGAAGGGATTGCAACGTGGCCATCCCCCCTGGAGGGTGATTTCTCGCTTTCTGTCTGTCTCTCTCTCTCTGTCTTTCTGGCGAGTGCACGTGCCCTATAGCAAAAAAAACCTCTCCAAAAAAAAAAAAAGATTGTTGCAAATTACACATAAAAACTAAATGAAGCACAATGCAATTTTCTTTTTATCCATATATTCATGAAGTTGGTAAAGCCACTCTCTTCTCCATTTTACAGAAGAGAAAACTGTGACCCAAAAAACTATCAGTTATTCACAGTGATGGATAATGCCTAAAAATGACGGAAACTCAAATCTCCTAATCTCAGCCCAGTTTTCCCAGTAGCTTGGACTGCTTTCCATAACAAACAAGAAAATAATCAGGGTTTTACATTTTGGCACAAAAGGCTTGGGATTTTTTTATTTTTTAACTCTATCAGATACTGAAACCAGTGAATCAGTCAGCCCTAGCAAGTTCATGTTTATTCATTGTAAAAACTCCACAAGTAATTTTAGCTTTGATTTTCCCTGAGATATACGTTCTTTGTATGTTTTCCCTCTAGGAAGTGGTGCTCTCAGAACCTTTCAAAGCACAGAATTTATTGTACCCTATTTTTACCACATTGAGAAGTTTTGAGATTGTAAAAGCAAAATGCAATCCATTTACGGTTGAAGTTTTTCTGATATGGGATCTAGGTTAACTTTATGCCACTTGTGGCTAATGCCCTCTATTTTCTTTGTGCAATAGAATTCCCTGAAATCGATTAGGTGTTAATTGTACTGAATTTAGTTGAGGTAAAGGGAATAGTGGCACATATTAATTATGGAGCTTTCTTCAGTCATTCTTCAGTTTTAGTCTCTGACTATGTAATTTAGTAACTTTCTTTGAGAAGTGGTTTCAACCCAGTTGAAAAATCTTGTCCTTAGTAACCCCTGGAGTCTTGTATTGAGCCTGATAAGCAGAGAAAATTCTGGACTGGAAATATAGGAAGGTGCCATGGTCTGCCAACCTGACCTCTGCCAGTCTTTCTGATCCACCTCCCCAGCCTAAGAGAGTAACAGACTAGATATGACTATGAATGCGATGAGTCTCCTGGTGATTATTTTGAGTATGTATGTTCCTATGTGTTTGGTGAATATAAAACGTATTTAGATGAGGGCTCTTTTTTGGACTTTATTTATTTGAGATTCTTATTTTATGTGTAATGGCATGTGTATATTTTGTGATGCTAAATACAATCCGTGTGTATACTTTGTGTATATACGTTGTACATATGTGTAAATAATACTGGTATGCAAAGGTACAGTACGTGTGTATTATATACCCATCCCACCGTGGGCTAAACTGACTGACGTTCTGTGAGGACATCTAGTGGCATTGTCCATGCTGTTGTAATTAGGTTCTGGCTGTATCTCATTCATAAGCCTCTATTTTGAGGGGTTTGTGTTTGGATAAAATGGGCTAATTTGGAGTTGAAATTCGGATATGAAGATCTTAATGAAAGCTGTACGTTTTTAGCTTTAGCATAATCTGCAAATTTTCATTTAAATTTATGATAGCTATACAAACCTGAAAAACCTAAGTATGTGAAACTGAGACACCAGCAGGTTCTTAAACTATATTAGCCCTTTATTTTTTCTTTGACCCATATTTGAGTATTATTACTGAGTAGTAAATTATTTATATTGGGACTTAATCAAGGGGCTGTGCAAAAACTTACATTGATCCCATGTAAAAATAGATAGGGAAATGTCTTTCATATAGAGGAAATATGTTCCTAGTTGTCATTTTAGTATATGATACAAAATTTTGGAGGTTTTTTTCATCCTTGTGCCTCGATTTTTATGTCTCTGTGAGGCAAGAAAAAGGGCATTATCTGAGGGAAGGCCTAACCTTGGTGTGGGATGAGATTTAGTAAGGAATAGAAGGTTGTTGATCTGTATTTTTGTAGCAGATATGATTTGGTCCTGTCTTGGCATTTTTGACTACAGACCTTCCTTATTTTAATTTGCTATCAGAGATGAGTATGCTCATGTGAGAAAATACTTCCAGTGAATAAAATGCCTCCGGGTGTATTGCTGTGTCTCTAGGAGACCATTCATGTTCTGCAATTTGATGATCTATTCACACATGAAGTAGAACTCTTATTATTAGGTACATGATGTGCTATAAAAACCTGGGCCTCTGCCAAGGATGACAGGGTTGGGGAGGATAAGAAGATAGTAAATATGTGCAGTACCAATTTGTGACTCTGGGATATCACAAGGGTTACTCCTGTCTTCAGTTGTCATGTCTATTTGCACGAAAGAGT